CTTGACACTATCTGAGGTTTTGTGCTCAACTAGGATAAATTGTCACTTGGAGGGTGCCTAAAATTCCTAATCAGCGGTTCCTCTCCAAAATTCAAGATTGGGTATGAGGAATTAAGCGAGCATACAACAAAAGGAAATGGGAGAAAACGCTTTTTTCGTGAAGGAATTTCAAAATATATATGTGTGATGCTCCTATCTGTACATGTATGTATATGTATATGCATAAATGTATATGTATGCGGTAACAAGATGAAGAAATAGGAGAAGAAATAAAGGAACGATGCTTACTATGCCTTTGATTGTGTTTTTTTCCAGCAGCTTGTCAAAATCGAGAGAAAAGGGAACTGCCTTGCAATTTTCTCTCCGAGTTGCTCCACGCTCTGCAAAGTGACCTTGCTAAGCCTGGCCTTTGATGAATTGAAGGAGAAGTCCAAGAAATTTGGGGTTTTTTAAAGGAGAACGGTAGCCCCTCCCAGTGGTTGCGAACGGTTTCCTTGTGCTTAACCAACTAGCAGTTATGGATGGCGCCCCTCAGTGATTTCTCGTTTTCAAGACCTGGGTGTGAGAGGGAACTAGCAAAAATCGAAAGAAGAAGGCAAGTAGTTTTCGCATGCACAAAAGAAAGAAATCAGAAAAGAAAAGGAGAAAGAAAGGAAAAGAAAGAAAATAAAATAAAACAAATTTTGATGGAAGCGCTTACCTGGGGAACGTAAAAGACTGCTGGAAGATAATCATGACAGCACACACGCAGGAAATGAGAAGGTCATGTAACCAATGTGGATTTGATTTTTCCTTTTGGGCTGATTATTTGGTTCATCTCAATATCTGCTCATGGCCCCAATAATCAAGGGGGCTAATGTTGAGGCCCAAAAATTCAAGGACTAAGCCCGGGTTTATCCTTAGCCCAACACAGATAATTGAACGCAAAGGGAGCTCAATCGGGACATAAGAGGATTTGTAGGACGCACCAGTGCAAGCCATAGGCCACGTGTCATGCCAAGCAAGCATGCGCAAAAAGGCCAAAAATGTACCGATTCTATAAATCCTCGCTTATTAATTTATGCAACATTATGCGGCCCAATCATAGCTTATAATAACGTGATGAAATTCGAGCACGAGCATGCTAAACAAACAGGCAATGCCATGTGAAGGATTGCTATTTTAATACCAAGCCATGCTATAGGCTTAAGTGGGCCCAAGCCACGTAATTACCCGAGGTTTGCTGAGAAGCTTGTGGTATGGACAGGAACAAGCATTCACAAGGCCTATTGAGGGTTCGAAGGATGAAAGTTTTAAGCTGCTTGGGAGCATTAAAACTCAAGCCCATTCCTCGGGCCCAAACACATGGGTAGCATAAGAGAGGGAGAAAAGTGATCCAATGTCTTAGGAGAATATCTAGTAGTCTGCTGCAATACTTAGACAAACCCACATCAGTAAAATGCGCAAAATATAACAAATAAGCTATTTCCCACAGCTTGACAAAAACCCATTGAATGCTGGAAATAGTACTCCAATAACCCAATACTGTACGCAAAGCCCAGCCCAGTGCCTTGTACTAGCATCGTATTCCACCTTTGTTAGGACTCCAAAATGGTCGACCAGGAGCCATGGCAGGGACCAAAGGAAATCCATATATGTAGGAAGAATACCCATTGGACAAAAGACTCCACCATTCTCTTTTCCTCTACAAGCTCTGTTTTGAAAATCAGGAAAGAAAGTGGGTGGCGCCTCACCCTTATGGAGAGGTCCAGCTACATAAAACTCTTGGAACCCCAAAGGGCTCATAACCCATGAGCCTTGGTTAGGAAAATTTCACCAAATAGGATTGAATGGAAAGAAGCAAAGGAAAAGGAAGGAGGAGGTTAGATAAAATTAGGGGTTCTAAGTGCCTATAAAAGATAGCTTCCTCTATCTAGCAAAACAATCATCCAGAGCATGACTAAGCTTTGTCAAGCAACTGGAATTTACTCAAGACACCCCATCTTCTTCTTCAATTGTTTTCCCTCTTCCTAAGATAGAAATCTTCCTAATTTTCCTCTTCCCCATTTTGAACTTTTCCTCTCTGTAAGAAATTCATGTTTTTCTCTCTCTCTCTCTCTCTCTCTCTCTCTCAAATTGCTAAACTTGTGAAACTTTAGCTCCAATGCCACAAGCTCCTCAAGCTAAGTCACTTATCAATTTGTTATGTTCATTTGGCTATTGGTGAAAAGAGCCTAAGAGTGTTTTTCTAGAGTTTCTGCAAACTTTTCAAAAACTCTTTTGGGAGCCGGGTTCTTGAACTCAGATACTGGGGGAATTTTGTTTGTCTTCCTCTTACAGCAGCTCAAGCCCATTCGTCAGGCTGCTGGAACAAAAATACCCCTACAATGGGATCAAACCAACGTAGTTCGGAATTTTGGAAATTAATGGGTAAGTGTGGCCTAATAGTTTAGAATTTGTGTCTTTGAGACAATTTGGAGACTTTCATAGGTAGATGACCTATAGGAAAAATTGGAAATTAATGGGTAAGTGTGGTCCACTAATTGGGAATTTGTGTTTAAGATATTTGAATTTAATCTCATTGAAATTTGCATAGGTAGATGACCTACGGGAAAATTGGATGGCTTTGTTCCATTTTTCTTATTGTCAATGTCCAAGAACAATAATGAGCAATTTTGATTAACCCACTAATTTTCTAAAATTGACATTTGCATTTGGACCCAAATATGGCTACGAGGACTTTTAAAATTGATCCATTAACCATATAATAGATAATTTGGGGCTCCGTAAATTTAACGGGTAATTATTTAGGTAACCCATTAAATATTTTGGGCTTTTGAGAATTAATGGGCAAATATTTTTGACAACTCATTAATCTATTTCGGGCCTTTGATATTTGAAATCGATTAGCCCATGAACAAGGAATCCAAATCATAAGGACTGCGGCTTGCAGCTATCAATTGAGCCAAACCAATAGCTAAGAGTTTGCTTGCAACAAGGCTTGCAACTCCTATATCTACTCGGAGTAGTTGAGATCAATCCAAGTTGTGATACTCCTATATCCATTTGGAGTACTTGAGATTAACGCAAATATCTCACCATAAATCTTCGACCTTTTAAAAGACCAAATAAAAGCTTAAAAAAAAAAAAACAAACAATCGATGCACCGCGGGCTGCGAGAGAAACCAACAAACAAGTTCGCTATTTTTTTTTTCACTTCCCATTTTCTTGTCTTTAGAGAGAAGTGAAGGATATCAAGAATAGACCATGCGACATGGCCCCCACAACTCCATTCTTTTCTTTGTTCTAACACAGCAACACAAATTCAAAACCTTGTTGCCATCTCTTCTTATTTCTGTACAACCCAAATTGGGTTTCTCCTAAAGCCATACGGCCTTAACAATTCCCCCCCCCCCCTTCTTTCTTCTTTTTCTTTTGATGCAGTGTACTCAAATAGAAAAACAAATTGATACAACTTTCTCAAATAGAGAGGTAGATAATTGGTCAGAGTGTCCAAGAGGTAGAGGTATAACCCCTTTTTTTATTTGCATATGCACCTTTGCTTCAATTCTTTTTTTCTTTGCTGCACTTGGTGGTAGAGAATTAACTTCTCATTTTTCATTTGCAGCTTATTCAGGCAGAGAGGTTCTGGATTTCTCACCGTATGGATTTTTTACATCCAAATAATTTCAAGGTTACTCACCCATGAATTTGCATCCAAATAATTTTGGGGTTTCTCACCCATGGATTTGCATCCAAGTAATTTCAGAGTTTTTCACCTATGGATTTATGGCATGCTATGCCTAACATAGAAAAGAAAATAGAGGTGACAGTATACATGTAGCAATTTTTTTTCTCTTCTTTGCACTGCTCTAATTTCTCCAGCAGTCTTTTTTAATCTATCGACAGCTTCCCCCTTTTCTTTTCTTTTCTTTTCTTTTCTTTTTTATGTTGTAGCCTTTTTATAGGCCAACTGGATAAGACTCCCTTGAACAAATAACACTTTTGAATTTCAAATAAGTGCTGATCAGATTCAACCTCTCGTTTCAGGTGCTGTAAACCTACTAATTATGCTCAAGCTGCTTCTGATCCCCATTGGCAACTTGCCATGAAAGCTGAGTTAGATGCATTGCAACTCAATCGTACTTGGACACTTGTTCCTTTACCTCCTGGTCACAAACCCATTGGCTGCAAATGGATTTATAAAATCAAATACAATTAAGATGGTTCCAAATTTCAAAGTTCCCTATTTATATTTATGTTTTTCTTCTCTCTCTTTTTCACATTATTGCTACCCCTCCTAAATCTCTTTTATTGTCTTCTTTTGACTCTAAATTTTGTAATAATAAACTACAATTCAAATTTTTTTAGTACGCAAAATACATTTAATTTGAATCAATTAATATTTTTTGCTTGTATTAATGATGAATAAATAGGTAATGTGATATATAAAATAATGGAATATATTAATTAAATTTAGGGATTTTGTATCAAGTAAAAAATTAATTCAAATGTCACGACTATAATGAAAAATATTTCAATATTTAAGATGCTCCCTCTGTACAAACTACAAAGTTTCTGACTCCGCCATCGCTGAGAAGATACCAGCACAAAAACAAAACTGCCGACACCACCGCTGAGAAGACAGACGCAGAGTGTAGAGGGGCTCATGAAAAGCACCTTACTTACTATAAAGAATTGTCATGAAAACGCCCCTACCATAACAATCCCAGCCGAAGGACTACTACAATTTAGTTAAACCATGACTCAAAATAGACGACGGTTCACTTTAAAACTGTTGTCGTATTTCAAAAAACGACGGTTTTACAAAACCGTTGTAATATATCATCTTATACAACCCTAAAATGGATTGCTTTTTAAAACATGGCGCTTGTCAATTAACAAGCGTCGTCTTTTAAAACACACTAAACAAAAGGAACAGCTTAAGTGAATTCGAAACATGGCGCTTGTCAATTAACAAGCGTCGTCTTTTAAAACACACTAAACAAAAGGAACAGCTTAAGTGAATTCGAGCTCGACCTAAAATTCAGATTTCCCCATCCATGTGAAAACCTTATCTCTCCCTTCTTGAAACCTCTTGAGCTCTTCTCTCTCCTTCCTTGAAACCCTATATGAAACACTCTCTTTCTCTCCTTTCTACTCCTCATACGTGCCTACCAGCCACTGACGCCATGGACGCCGCGATGCCATCAACACAGCGACGCCATCAACACAGCGACGGCGTCGACGCCATCGTCTTCTTCGCATCAGTCATCACCAGCCGCCATCGATGCCATCTTCATCCCAGACTTCGTTGACACTTGCAAACTGATGTCGTGAGGTCAACGCCACCACCAAGAAGACATACAACCTCTTCGACAGAAAAGAAATCAGAGAGACAGAGGTGAAGAGGTGACGGTCATCGTCTGTCTCTCGATGGCTCTCTCTTGCCGGAGCTCTCTTTCTTGTTGTCTCTCTCTAGCTCACTCGATCTCTCTTGTTGGCTGGCTCCATGAGAGCCTCCCTTCCTCCATTCCACAGGTAACAACTCTCCTTCTCTTAGGATTATTTTCTATAATTTTTTATGAATCAATTTCTATATCCCTAATATGATTTAGGGTTAAAATATTTGGGTGTTTAATTGTAGATTATCTGGGCAAATTGTTATATATTTTTAAATATTTTCGATTTATATAGAAAATAAGGCAATTTTTCTGTTTTTTTTTTTTCGATTTTAGGGATTTATATATGTGTGCATCAGAAAGGTGAGAATCTACAAAATATAACTTCTATCGTTATGCTCTTCAAAATTTTGTTTGACTTATATATGTCCCATGATCTTAGTCCCCTATTTATGAATTTGGTATCCAGAAAAGGCCTTATCTTCTCAAAGCTGAAAGACTTTAACCATGGTACCCTCCATCTTCTCTCTACTGCTCCTCTACCCCTGCATTGGTATTCTCCAAATTCCACAGTCCTGTAAATGCAAAGTTTTGATGAGCTTCAATACTGTTCAATTTCATTTGTACTTAATTGATGTGTGACATCGTTGAAATGGGTTTATCCACCACTGTCTCTACATAAAGTTTTTAAGTTTGTTTAGATTATTAAGAATTCATATTTTTCTTGTTATATTTCTTTAGCATGCTGGATTGACACTTCTATATTGATAGTTTGCACTTATCTGGTCCGCGCTGTGAAGGACAAGAGGCTCCAGGTTAAGGGACCCGTGAGAATGCCAACCAAGGTTCCGCACATTACCACCAGGAAGTCCCATTGTGGTGAACGTATGTTTCATTGTGAAATGTTCCTGTTGTTAACTTATGGCTTGATGCTTTATGGGCAAGGCAAGGCTTATGGCTTTTATGGCCATTTACTCAGAGTTGGGAGTTCTCTTGTTTGTGCCAAGTTACATAAGTAAAATTTGTTGCTTATTGTGGCCTATTCATGATTGACCAGTTATTGAAGCAAAGTGTCTCTGCATTTGCATTTTAAAGGGTTATGTATCTTTAAAATTTTGTTTGTGATTTACAGGTACCAACACATGGGACAAATTTTGTTTTCGTTAAAGCTTATAACTTCTATCTGCTTGGTTGTGAGAATTTGAAAGGTGAGTGAAGTTTCACCAATTCTATGGTTGTGTTGTGTTTCTCTTATTTAGTGTTGGATAATATGTTGTTGTTGGACAAAAGACCAAGCACTTGATCTTTCACCCATAACCCATCTTATTTCTTGTATGTTTTTTTTACAGGCTTCTCCTTAATTTAATTCTTTGTACAGAAAACATGTGAGTGTCTCTGCCTTGAGTCTGGATATCCAATCTTTTGTTTTGTGCTGTCATGGTGGGAAATAGGCCTTGTAGTGTGTGTTTACTTGATTAGTGGCTTTGAGACAATAGAGTGACTTCTATTATTATATGGATTGTATATCTCACTATTACATTATTTTGGCTTGTTAAGCAGTTTCCTACGCCAAGGAAGTGGTTCTAATGAAGCTACTGCTAGAGCTGGGGAAGTAGTGTTAGTTCAACCTGCAATTAAATGCAGGGGGAAAGTGGTGATGATGAAGGTATAGCTCTGTATACATATGGAGAACTTGACTAGAAGGATAATTAGGTATAGGAATTTTGGTGTATTATTGTAATTAGGCTTGCCACTTGTAGCTAGTGGCCCTAGAGTACTTTCATTTTTTAGATTTTATTTTGTTCTATTGTACTCTTGATATTCTATTTATGAAAGAAACAATTTTTTAGTATATATGTGTGGCGTGGGTTGTAACACCCCGACCCCAAATTTATCCCATGTTTTAATTTATTTAAGTGGAATCGAGAAATTACCCGTGGGATAGGGGTATTTTAGTCATTTTCTTATCCAGAAGGAATTTGGGGATTTCGGTTGTACCGTTGCGTAGAGCACGGTGAGATGAGTCCGTAGACACGTAGTGGGCTCGAATCGGAGTCGTAACGAGAGAGATATGATCAAATGAAGCTCAGTGGCAAAATCGTAAATATTTTGAAGTGGGTTTTTGGTTAAAAGACGGAATTACCCCCGTCACTCTCTCTCTCTCCCGCGAGTCTCTCCCTCTCTCTCCTCTGGTTCGCGACGCCACCGCAGCCGGCCACATTTTGGCCGGCCGTTCGTTCATCCGGCCACCCCCCCGGGCGGCGCCACCGGTCCCAAAATGACCGGCCTGATTCCGCCGTCCTACCCCACCCATTCTCCGACGTCAGACGGCAGCGATACCGCCGGAAATTGCAGAAAGACGGCCGGGTTTTACCCAGATTTTCCGGAGCTCGTTCCGGCGATTCCGGCCACCAAATCTTGCGATCAAGGTATGCTTTCTCATCTATTTTCCGAGCTCTAGCTGCCTGTTGGGTAGGAATTGATCAATTTGTAGCGTAGGCAACCCGATTTACGAATTGGGTTTTGGTCGGAATTCGAGGGGAGATTCCGGCCACTTCCGGTCAATTTTTGGGGTATGTCCAAGAACAAAAGTGACTCCAAATTAGGTGTATTACCTAGGGTAGGAGTCTTGGCTC